TAAAAATACATAACTACCCGTTTTCGAACAATTCCAATGCGTCGCTTCTGACAGAATACAGGGTGTCTGAACACGCAGGTACGCAGTTGGTGCACCGCATGGCCTCCTGTCTCTCTTTCGTCAGCCTGGATTGATCCTCTAATCCCCTGGGGTTCATCGTCCTCCATTTGGCTTCAAATTACAGTTTTAAAATATAGCAAATATTCCTTGTTAATTTTTTTCTTACCGCTGTAAGAACTGAGACATTTCAAGTCAGCCAAAGTGCATTGCGGTAGAGCCTTGCTTCGGAAAACGTTGATGTAGTTGAATGGCGTACAACCGCACAAAACGCCTATGCTCTTGATCTTACAGTCCATTATGCAGTCGCTGTAGCTGTAACCCCCGAAGATGGTGTCCACCTCGTCGGGAAAAATGCATCCCCTCTGGAAAAAACGTCGTCCTCCTCATTTACCCGATTTATACCATATTGGATAAAGCATTTGTCACCGTTCATGGAAAATTACCTGTACTATGGGGTATTTCCTCACTTCAGCTGTCGTGAAAGTTACAATACTGGAAATGCCAACCAGAGCTTCCACCCCGACACCTATTAAGACCTCCAACAGGCTACCGGAAGTGGTGTCTGGAAAGTCTTTCGGCAAGGAAACTAGTATCTGAAAGATCGGTCGTTTTCGTTTCGTACACCTTGTACATTTATATAAAGTCCGTACAATATTTGTACGCAGATAGGATAAGCCAATAAAGTTCTGTTATTGGAATTTCTGTAACAATTTACCGCGGCAAGCCTTGAAATTTTAGTTCGGAAAAATTGTCTTAAAATAATTATACGCGTTAAACACGATACTCCTCGACTGGGAATTAAATTCCTTTCCTTTATTTTTTCACCTCCATTGATTGATTTTAATATGAAATTACGTGGAAAATGCACAGTACTTTACACTTACGAGGAAACACTCCTTCGCAATCGCAAAACACAGTATGCACTGTAACCTGCTACGGTGTACGCCACGCCGCCAATATCTTTCTACCTCGGGTGTCGAATGCGGTTAATTCCAAGAAAGTGACGCAGGGGTCTTCTTGGAATTCTATCTCGACAAATATTGTACGGACTGTATAATAAGCGGTCTTTCAGGATTAATTAATCAAACTTAAAATTTGGATTTGGATTTATATTGAGAAGAAAGAGTTTCGTTTTCGAGATACAGGATTTTGAAAATTGAAAAAATCTCAGATGTTCTAAAATGTCTGAAGATACCTCACGCAAAGTGATGGAACTTGCGCTAGTGACTTAATTAAAGATACAAATCCGTTGAATTCATAAATATATATCAACCAGTGACGGAGATACTTGTAGTTACACCGACAGAACATCGAACAGCTTATTTGTCACAAAGGAAAGCTTTTATTTGGCACTCAAACAGAACATGTGGAATTTGCGGTAAAGTGGTTAACGTTGTCTGACACGTAATCAGTAACTCTATCCAAAATGTTTTTTTATCAGAAACATAAATTTGTGTTAAAGAAAGGTATTAATATACCTAATAAGATTTTTTTTTGGTAGGATCAATCTGAATCTAAAATTCCTTGATCGGTTTGTGCTTTGATGCTCACATCAAGACACTCCTCTAGAAAGCGAGATGAAATGACATTAAATTAGAATTCAGCAGTCTAAATACTAAATACATGACCCAATCCACTTTTTTTTGTAGCGCTGTATAATATATTTTTGTGTTTTAGCTTACCAGTAAATATGTGTAAGGAAAAGAAAAAGTTGAAGTTTAAAACAATAGGCCAACCAATAGAGCGAAAAAAGAGTATGTTTTTACACTTAAATATTACAGCAAACATGTATTTCCTTTTGAAAAATACTTAGTAAATGAAAACCCAAGTGATTTCCCCAGCACAGTCGTGAACAATTTTTTTTAAACAATAAAAACTGCAAAAAATGACATTTTTTTGTTTCTTTTATAATATCTCGAAAAATAATGAGAGAATCGATAGGACTTTTGTAGAGAATAAAAAAAACTATAAAATGTTTTTTTGTGCAACCCGATCGGATCATTTTCTACAGAGAAAATCCGGAAAAACCTCTAAAATAGACCTTTTTTCGAAAATTCCTAACTCCGTCAAATTTGAAGCTGGAAAAACAATCTTGTGGAAAATGTCAGATAACAATATGCAGTTTAATCGTGCGTAAGATGGTTTCTGTCCGATGCATTGTTTTTGCACAATTGCATTATAAACAAGTTCAAATCTCAAATCTCAAAATGTCCTTGAAAGTCGCCCGAAACGATCGAAAGTATGCTCGAGCCAGAGTTGGGTAGCGGTAGTGGAGGAAGCAGCAGTTTTCCGCCCTACCCATTTCCGATGTCAGAAATACATCTATCATATCTAAAAATCTAACTTGACCTTCAAATGACCTCTACAGTTGACCTTTGTGTCAAAGTCAAGGTCATCATCGAATGTCCTCCTCAGAACTCTACAACTTTTATCTAAAAAGTTTTTATTGAAAGTGCTTATTTAAGAAGATATTGCAATACGTTATTTAAAATAGGACACCGCATATATTTAGCGTACAAGAAATCTTTGTTACAGATAAACAAACAATTTTATGATAAAGAATTTCTTTGACCCAAACAACATCCTTGATTATATTGTTTGTTCTTGAGAAAATTATATTTGTTGGATTATATCCACCAAAATCAGCATTTGTTTATAGCAAATAAAATTTATTAACCACAAAGCACCTGTTCTTTCAGTGTACTTTCACAGGGAACTTTAGAAATTCATCGCCACTGAATATGTACTGGGACTGCTTTCATTATCTAGTGGTGTTTCTAAGAAAAAGCGTTTTCTTTAATTGTACTTGAACATTCGATTATTTTGTTATATATATTTTTTAATTATTCATACATTACCGTTGTATCAAGTATTGCAACAGAATTTGAAATAACGGTACAAAACTTCCCATATGACAAAACAAATTTATGTTTTGCTAAAATCCGGTTTTAAATACAATATAGTAAGGAAAATGTCGAAGCACCTTTGGCACTCTAGACCATTGCTCTAGCATTTGAAGCATGGGACATGGAACCTGAAGATCTTCCTTTAAGTAAAATTGCAAAATATTTTTTTTATTTTCTAAACTCGACATTTGTTTTTCCTTTGCAATTTAGTTAAGAAATAATTAATGTTGTTTTTTTAGTTGCGAGGAACAAAATATTGTTTTTTTTTTCATTGGTTGTTAAAAAAAATCGATTTTGTTTCTTTTTATGGTTGCTTTAAATATATTTACCTTTTCTGAATTTTTACAAGAGCTTTACTAATTTGATATTTGAGGATATCCCGATCCTATACTCTGTTAAAATACAGGGTGGTCAAATGAAAACAAAACACAGCCATTTTCTGGAACTGCGTCAAGATTGTAGAAAAACGCTCAGACCCGNTCATTCTGAGGTCTTTGCTATCCAACCTCATTTAGCGAGCTGAAATTATGATTTTTTTTCAAAAACAACTGATTATCTCGAAAACGGTAAGTTTTAAACACCATGTACATTTAATAAACTCTACCTAATATTAACCAAGGAAATGCAATAATATACAGGGTGTTCCATTTAAAATAACAAAGTTATGTAGCGCCCACTCGAAATGGAACAACCTGTAAAGCTAAAAATACTTTCTTTACATAGCCCACATGATTCCAGGCAACTTTTATTAAAACAATTTTTATAAATTTTACAGTTGCATAGTAGAGTTACAGAAGAATCCCTTTTAGGTGGAGCACCCTGTAGATTGAAATGTTTTCACTATACCCGTGTACCATAATAATGGACAGTGATTCATATCCAGCACTTAGCAAGGGAGGTGAGGGGTGCAGGGGAGAAGATTCCATAGGCGTGCTACTTGAGAAGGGGTCAAAGAACAGAAAATTATAAAAAATAAGTTGACGGTGAATATTTACTTCCAAAAGCTTTAAAAACAGATTTAAACAATTTTTCATATACTTTGCTACCCATATCCTCATGATAGGAACATCACGTCACGCATATTTCGCAAAAGCACCCTTCCAGATTTTCTAAACAAATTTTGATCCTTTGGGAGTATGTGGCACTCATAAATTTATACGAAGAAATTATGTGTTTAACTCGGCAGTAAAGTAGATTAAATGCCTTGGCTGAAGCATTAAATTTGGTACTTTACTGCCTACTTATACGAATAACAATTTTTCCTGTAGAGATTTGGGCGAGGAAGGTGCGGCTTTTTATTACTTTTATATAGCTTAATTCTAAGAGGATATTTATTTGACTAGGTTTTTAATTAAAATGAGGCGCGTATTTTGGAGTGTTTCGATGAATAGTTTTATCTTGGACGCCATACACTTGTAGCAATCGTTAATAAACACAATTAGGTTAATTATCAGTCTCATTAACCTGTCGCGCGAATAATGAAATAACATCAGCTGGGACAATTAATAAACACATCACAATTTTCTGTAATTTAGTGATTCTGTTTTTTAACGATGTATAAAAAGCGTCATTATGCGACATTAAGTGTAATTTATTTTTTACAGTGGTTTTACGAGGGGTTTGCTACAAATTTCTCCCTTAGTTGGTCGCCAAAAAGACGTCCAGATTTAACATCTGTTAGTTGAACTACTTCCACCGAGATTTGGAAGGATTTGAATCGTGGTGGCCGTGTGGGCTGCTGATTTAGCCCCTCTCTATTACTATTTTGCAGTTGTTTTTTTTTTTAATGAACAGAGCTATAAACTGAATGCGAACCTGTATAAACTTAAAAAAGCATCGATAAATAACACAACGTTACATCATTAGAAAAAAAATGTTGTTCGTTTGTTGATATTAAAATAGTTAAATAATTTATGAGGTTGTATTTTAGTGGAATAACATTAAATGTTTTTTTTTCTGTCAACGTAATATATTTATTTGCGTACGCAAATACTAGTGGCTAGTTACGTTCGAGTAATTAAAGCACCAGGTTAATCAATCGTTGTCGCCATCTTCTTCCCTTCCAAGTGGTTTGCTAAGTAATTTTTTGCAGAATACGTAGGTGAAGAAGTACAACAATTCCACTACACTGACAAAGCTGATACCCATCACGAGGCTGCACAGTCCACCGAACAAACCTAGAAACAATGCGCTTAGACATATTTGGTATTTTCAAACTGGATCAAATCGTTTACCTATCATGTCGTACCAGTAGAAAAAGACATCCTGCTTGTTAAACGTGACGGACGGAGGATCAAAGATCACGTGAACTATGCTGAAGTTGTCCACCTTCGTCCTAAAGTATTTAGCGTAAAACCGAGGCTACGCCGGGTTCCCATGCAAGTCAATGCCAATATCGGCAATTAGTTTGGTGGGGTTCGGGTACATTTGTTTTCCGTTAATTACAGTTAGAGATTTTATAGTGCAGAAAAAGCCGGTAAAATTGGGAGAAACTGAGAAAACTTGAAATAAAACTGTATTATTCACCAGTTGAGGACGACATCGCGCCCGAGCGGAGCGAGTCCGAGATTGGTAAATTATACCTAACTGCTGCGTGGTGTATAACATTTTATCTGCTCCCACAGTTTTTACGATTCATGAAATAAATATTAGGTTTTATTTTTTGACACTTCTTAATCAGTTCATTTTGACATTATTCAAAATCTTGCAAAATCGCCTTGGTTGTTTGGATTTTGTCGTTTCCAATGTGTTTATAAACAAAGCTACATAAAAGTTGCAATTTCGCTGGTTTTGAATTATTATTTCCAAATGAGTGATTTTCAAATAGAAAGTGCAGCAAATGCAGTGCCTGCGAATTTTTATTGCCCGAGAAGTCGAAAGTGCGCTGTGGAAAGTATATAGAAATTTCAAAGAATGGTGCCAGAACAAAAATACTGGTGTTTCTGAAATGTCACTGCTCGCATATTTCATGGAGAAGTCAAAAACTTTTAAGTCGCCGGCGAGTTTGTGGAGTGAATACTCAATGATTAAGTCAACTATTTTCATAGAGGAGAACGTGGATATATCAAAATACCCCAAGCTGAGAGCATTTTTGAAACGTAAGAATGACGGCTATACAATATACATCTAAAAAGTCAAACGTTTTTACAAGAGAACAAGCCAACGATTTTCTCGTTCAGGCACCCGATAACACATACCTGTATTTGCTAATGAAGGTAGTGACGGTCTTAGGCATTGCAGGAGTATGCCGTTCTGATGAG